GGGGCAACGACGGTGCGGGGCGGCGACGGCGTCGGGGCGGCGCGGGGCGACGACGACGACGGCGACGGCGAACCGAAGACGGGCAAGCTGGCAGCGTCAGGCGCGGGGAAGAAGGAACTGAACCAAATTTTCAGGAGTGCTGCTTATATAGGCAAAGCATTGGTCCCGGTTCGTGAGACCAACCGGGACCAATGCCCCCTTTAGTCCCGGTTGGAGCCGGCAACCTGGACCAAAGGCCTCTTTTCAGCAGCCCAAAGGGCAGGAAGCGGCAGCCTTTGGTCCCGGTTAGTGGCACGAACCGGGACTAAAGGGTGTCATTGGTCCCGGTTGGTGCCACGAACCGGGACCAAAGGGTGGCATTGGTCCCGGTTCGTGCCTCCAACCGGGACCAACGGCCTTGCATAGCGGCGTGGTGGTGGGAGTTTACTCCCACCTCGCTAGTTGAGAGCGCCCCGCACCTGTTTATAAGCTCCTGCCTCTTCCCACCCGAACTCCTCTGAACTGCAGAATATGGGCCTAATCTGACACTGCTTTGCCTGTGGGCCTGCTGGGCCTTCTGCGGGCCTTAATCCTGACCCATGATATGGTTTCTAGTCATATTCAGGCCGTGGGGGCCCAGTAGGAGGCACTTTTTTTTGTTTTTTTTGTTTTCTTTAGTTATTGTTGCTATTTTTATTTTTTTCCCATTTTTTTGTTTTGTCTTCTGCATTATTTATTTTCTTTTGTTTTTTGCTTTATTTTTTTAATTCTTTTTTGCTTTTAGTTTTAGAAAAATTATAAACTTTCTGTTAGTGCCATTAGTTTTCAAATTTGAAATCATTTTTTTTTGATTTTCTTTCTTGCTTTATTTATTTTATGTTGTTTCTACTTACAACAAAAAGTGAAGACTTTCTCCACAACTATTATGATGATACCATGCCAAAATAAAAGAGAGGCGCAATGCTCACCTGCACGCTGCTTAGCTTCAGGCCAACGTGCAGGTGAGCACTGCGCTTCTCCCTTCATCGTCTCTACATTCAGGGCTTATAAACCGCTGCGAGTGCCTCTCGCTTGGCGAGGTGGGACTAAAAAACAGGTGCAGAAAGAATCAACTAAAAAACTCTTTTACCGGTTCATGCCATGAACCGGTACTAAAAGGTGCTCGTGGGGCCCCAGCCTTAAAACCTATACCAAATAAAATGCCTTTGTAACAGTCTTAGAACTGGTACTAAAGGAATCAAATAAAAAGCTTTTATAAACCTCTAGTATTATTGAAACTAAAATTATATAGAATTTTGTTACAAACTATAATAGCAAAAAGAATTATCATAAAAGAAAATAAATAAGTAATTAGAATTTAGTTCAAAACATTAAAAGCAAAAAGAATTATCATAAAAGAAAATAAATAAGTAATTAGAATTTTGTTACAAACTTTAATAGCAAAAAGAATTATCATAAAAGAAAATAAATATGTAATTAGAATTTAGTTCAAAATATTAAAAGCAAAAAGAATTATCATAAAAGAAAATAAATAAGTAATTAGAATTTTTTTACAAACTTTAATAGCAAAAAGAATTATCATAAAAGAAAATAAATAAGTAATTAGAATTTAGTTCAAAACATTAAAAGCAAAAAGAATTATCATAAAAGCCGTTGGTCCCGGTTCGAGCCACCAACCAGGACCAATGGTGGTGGGCCAGGAGCGAGGCCCATTGGTCCCAGTTCGTCCCACCAACCGGGACCAAAAGGTCCAGACGAACCGGGACCAATGGCCCACGTGGCCTGGCCGCCCCCCGGGGCTCACGAACCGGGTCCAATGCCCTCATGGGTCCCGGTTCTTGACTGAACCGGGACTAATGGGCTGACCCGGCCTGGACCTTTGCCCCCTTTTCTACTAGTGTATCGACAACGTTGTTTTCTATGGTTTGGGTGTCCTCGAGAGTTGGTCGAGCGAGAGGGGGTTGATCAATGTCCCCTTGTCGACCCTCGGCGATCCTCGACCCTCGACCCCTCGATGACCCTCGACGCTCATCCCCTCGGCGACCCTTGACCCTCTACCCTAGTTCCGATCCTCGACCGCTCGGATTCTCTTAATCTTTAAGGGATTTAACAAGATGGCGCCATTCTGGATGTGCAAAAAATGGTCCATATTTTTCCTGATCTCATCTACCCTTCTATATGTCACGTTGTCTAGTGTCAAAGGATTTAAGAAAATCATTGCTTCATCGTTTGCCGAAAGTAACAGGCGCATAATGGTACGAAGCTCTTCAATATTATTTTGGAACGGAGTCCGGGATAGGATAATTAGCTTTTTGATACGAGGTTCAGCAAGTGCCTTTCGAATATTGCTATTTGCAAAAGGCCTTTGCTGAAATTCATACCAAAAAGCGAATCATTCTATCAGGAACTCCGTTCCAAAACAACTTTGAAGAGCTTCGTAGCGTCATACGCCTGTTACTTCCAGCAAATGATGTAGCCATGGATTTCTTCAATACTTT